CCATTAGGCCCTGCGACCCACCGCCAGACCCTTTGGTCAAAGTGTAAAGAATTCTGATTCTCGTGTATCCTGTGCGATGAGTTTGAGCTGTGATGCTGGTAGTTTCTTTGATTGATGGACTCATTTGCACCATTGCTCAATTGGAACGTCCTTTTATATTTCATTTTGATTTTTTTTAGAACCTTCGTTGCACTGTAGTACCGTCTCTGAGCATGGTGCTTTATATCGAAAAAGGGTAGACCAGAGAAAGGATGGACCAATTTTCCTACAGCAATAAATATTGCATTGGCCAAAGCTATTCAATTTTCTATAATACACCACTTGTCCTGCAATTTTTTTTAAATTGAGGTTCGCGATTAATTTTTATTCGGACCCGTCACTCGCTTTTGTTGATATTTTTCAGACATGTGATCTCGAGAAATAATCAAACGACCTTTAAATGCTTTTATTAATAGCTTCGTGTTTTTTTTTTTAAATAGATTCCAGAATAATTAAGCTGCCACCGCCTAGGAGACACATTTCCAGTGTGTAGAAAAATATTTAAAAGTTGTTCAAGAATTGTTTTTATTTTTCTGGAAATGTCTTAATGAAGCGCAATAGAACGAATTGGATGTCGGCAGAATACAGCTGCCTGTCCCACTTCCACGCGCCCGCGGTATACAAAAATATGTATACTGTTTCGATTGTTGTGTAATTTCCTTTTTATAAGTGTAGAGTACTATGATGACATGTGAATTTTCCACACTACCGTGAAAGTTGTTATTTACCGAGTACTTTCCAGAACTTCCATCGTTCTTGAACGTTGAGTATGTGATCCGTACAGGGCTTAGGCCTGAGCTTTGCGTAGCTTTGAGTCTTTCTTTTCGTCCAAAGCTTTTTTTTCAGTATATTTTGCGTAAAAAGTGCAAATGCGATGGAAGACCATATTCACGAAGAAAAGCTGTGTTTGCTAGCCTTTTTAGGATGATGAGCAGTAGTCAAACCATTCAGAAAAGAAATCATCATAAAATTATAGCTGCTGATCTAAGGTTTTTATTTTTGTCTCTTTTCACTTCTGTTTGTAAGCCACAGCATGACATACTCTTATGGTATTCAGGATCGAGTTCTACCCTTTAAAATATTCTGGGCACGTGGAAAAGGCGGAAATTTGTGCATGCAAGTGCTGTGTAATTATTCCTGTTCCGAAATTTTAATTTGTGAGTAGAGAAGCGAAAGCATTTTTCCTTCTGCGCTGCTTGCCGTTTTCCTTCCAAATTGACATCACGCGTCTCTTAATGCTTGACCCGATTTGGCTGTGATTTATTTGTAGATTTTTAGACAAATAATATTAATTAAGTGTAGCTATTTACGGTAGTCTTCTCGCAGCTTCATTATTCGACACAGCTTTATTACGTCTTCAGCACCTCCCAAACGTCGCATATTTATATTTATCTCGAAGACGTCTTTACACATGTTTAAGATTTGCGAAATTTCGTTAAATTATGCTCATGCCTTCAGTATTATTTTTACTTGGCACATTTATTCAACTGCTTATTGAGTCATTTTTTGTTGAAATTCATTTCTTGTACTGTATAGTGTTCTTCTGAAAGTAATTAGTTCTTCCTACCTTATATTCTAATGAAGAGATCGACAAGATTTTTTCATTTAAAGATTGGAACTTTTGCGTTGAAAGTTTTGAAAGCGGAAGTACTGCATAGTTTTTTAGGATCTCGAAGGATGATTACAACTGCAGATCAATAGGGAAATACTTGAGAAACATTTTGAAGAATTTTGAGGCAAACTTAAATGTTCAGGATTGACTGGAACTTGAGAGACAGACTAGAAATATTTTTGTGGTTTTCCATTCAGAGTAGAGCGTGAAGATAATGCCTCGTTTCGTAATCGGGGGACTTCTGTAGACAAAGTAAGGCTTTCTTTTTTACCTAGTGACCTAGAAAGATATGTCTTGCATGTGTATGTATACCCTGCTCGTGCGTGATTCTTGGACATTTTTACGAATGTACAGTACCTTGTTTATGGTTTTTACTGATCATTTCGTTGCTCCGTTCTCCGACTTATATATACAGGATATTGCGATCAGACCGAGACCTGCGACGTTTCCAGACAGTCGCCAAGTGGAAGACCCAGAACCCGGAGTTCAACGAAGAGTTCGTCTTCGATAGCAAGCTGAAGGAGTTGCCTCGGAGAACACTGGAGATTTCAGTGTGGGGCAACGACTCCGGACTGCGAGAAGACTGTCTCGGTGTGTGATTGCAGTTGCTGCTGTATTTGTACTGGGGTCGACGAGGGGTCTTATTCTCGTCCTCATCCACCCCCGCGGAGTCGTGATATTAATGAACGCCATCGCGAGCCTTAACCTGTCGACGGGAATGACGCTGATGTATTTTTCCTTCGAGCTTTCCTCGAGCAGGATTAATCAAGTCTTGCTGCTGATGAAACTTGCCTTTTTACGTCTTCTTCTTCTTATTATTATAAATCATGAAACCCATGTTGTGCATGGAAGTATAGGAAGAACTAGATATAAACGATGCGTCAAGACCAGAAGCTGAAACCTACTTGCCTGTTTGAACTGCGCTGAAGTATTCTGCACAGATCATAAACGGTTGAAAAGCTTAGCCTGAAATCTGTGAAGTGGAGTTGTTTGAGGTTAAACACCAGTTAAAATCGTCAAAGCCATTGGCGAAATTCTCTTTTTTCTCTTTTATAACGAGTCTCTTTTTTCATTTGTTTTGTGACACTTTCCGTATTTTGAACAAACCAATTAAAAAGTTGAAGTTTCAGTTTAGTCAATATATTATTTCATTGCATACTTTATACATTCAGTGTCACAAATTGGAAATTTTGTCGATATCGTATTTATTGACAGTTTTGAGAAAATATTGTCTTTTTTCATTTTGGAATTTGTTATGTTGCGAGCATTGTCTTTTTTCAAAGTGACAGGTGGACTCTCTCTGCGACAAAATTCAAGGGGCCAAAAAAAATTCGTTATACAAAGAATATTTCTTAAACGGAGTCCACCTGCACAGACAAAGAAAGACCAAATACTCCAGCATGTATAACGAAATATCCCAAAATACAGAAACATTATTTTGTTCTACAATTGTAAAAAAATCGAAAGAATTGTTCGTACAGCGAATTTTTCTTGTCCCTTGAATTTTATTGTAGAGATCCCTATTCCTATGGCATTCGCAGAAAATCCCCATGTAGAGAACCCTAGCTATGGGCTCAAAAATCCATGATACAGAGAAAATCGTTGTGAAGATAGGTATGGTGTTCATAGACAGAGCTTTATCCTCAGGGATCAAGAAAAATTTTGTATCTGAAGTGTAGAATTGTCTTGTATGGGGAATCCCTTCATGAAAAAATCCACCATTTTTCATCGCGCATTTTTTAAGGCTTCATCCTTGGAAAAATGTTGAAAAGTGCAGCGGATTTTGTCTTTTTCTATCGGTCAAACAAAACTTATATAAGAAGTATCTTGAGATCTTTCGGGACCAAGCAAAAAATTCCATTACATGTACAATATTGTGAATTGGAAAACTATTTTAATGACCTTTCTGAAAGTTAAAAAATACTGATTTATGTATTCCTCGTTTTTGACGCGTTCATATCTCCCGAGCTTTTAATACTAGCTGTGCATTTTGTCTTCCGCTGTCGGCCGATTCAGGAGGAGTGCAAATTGGAATCGACAGCAAAGGAGAGCGATTGCGACACTGGTTCGAGGCGATAAAACATCCGGACATTCGACACGACCGCTGGCACTTCCTGCTCAACGACGGTGTCGCGTGACTGCCTGGCTGCAAGACCGACATATAGCGACTCACTGTGCGTCGACGTCGTCGCGATAAGCTCGTTTCCATTTCATATTACTTCCCCCTTTTTTTTGTCTGTGTACGGACGCACCGACTTCCGCATCTCTTCCGAAAAATATTGTACCAAGGGACCCACATGCTTAGGAAAAACTGGAAAAAATATAGAGGGGTAGCAAATAAATTGATACTGTTTTAATATTGTATACGCGTGACCAACCGCATTAACTCGAGTACGTGACGAACCAGTGTGAAATTGTGACTATTCGGAAAATTTTTTACTGCAGCCTGAATTCGAAGTAATCTCTACGTCTTCCTCGGAATTAAATTAATCGAAAACGGCTTTTTATTTCTACTGTATTTGGATTTAAACCCAAACATCAGCCTAAATTACCGGAATAACGAGCGCCTGGTTAATTTGATTTAAAATTGATTCGTACTAACAACATTTCTGGCGTATGCAATGTAAGCTGGGATCTAACTGAAGCAAATTTAGCAGTAATGAGAAGAGGGAATACGATATTCATTGTGATCGAATATCGCAGAGGCTGTTGGTCATCAATTCACATCAGAGGAACTGTGTTAATTTTCGAGAATTGAAGCCTGCTGTAAGCAGATACTTTTTCTAACTTTTGCTTGAATATTACTGATGAAAAACTCATATTACAAGGAAATATCACAAAATCAGAAGATTAGCCATGCAGTATCAGTAAGAATTTAATACCTGGTCAAAATTTGTTCCTGTTACGTGAGTCACAAGCATTATTGAGCATTATTATTACGATGAGGCCAGTCGCATTTTTTGGCTCTCTCTCACGTACTACCGTATATAACAGCATCGAAACCATTACCTCATCAATGTAGTTTTGTCTCCTTTTTTCCCTTTGATACATTTTTTTCGTCGCGGAAGAAAGGATTTTTTTGAAAAAATACCACATACTGTATTTCATTGGATTCCAATTACGTACGGACAGTCGAAAATTTGGCTTGTTGATTTTAAACCTTTGTCATGGTCCCATGGGATTGGGTTGGAAGAAATGTTCCCTATACAAGATGCTCGTTCAACTGTTTTCTTGCAAAAAGGAAAGAAAATATATTTTTCCCCGCGCGGAATGCGTTTGAATACAGCAGAACGAGAGGCGTTGGAAGGATTTACGGATTTGTCGCTTCGGCGAGAGGTTTTTTTTTCGTGGCTTAGCTTTCTTGCTTTGATGATATTTCTCATTGTTATGTATTCGTGTACAATCTGTGGTTACTTGTCGTTGGAGATTACGTGGGACTAAAGTTATTCAGTTGCTGCTCATTGCGTCGCATTCATTTGTTAATCTAGATACAAGCAGTAAAATACTGCACTATACACCGAGACCGACCGATGCGCAGTTAAACTTCCAACCGACATCGCTCCCCGATGGGGAAAGCAATACGTTCGTAGTTCAGAAAAGTATTAACAGGTGTCAGTATTATTTCAAGCATCTGAACTTCAGAAGTCTGAAGACTCAGTCTACACAAATTCTGTCCTTTACACGGGTGAGAACTCGGCGAATTTATCTACGCCCAAGCTATTAACCACAGCTTAATTTTTACATAGTCGTTTCATTCGTTTATAGTATTTCATAACTTTTCCATGCATATCTATCGTAAGCAAGCAATATACATTACTGTACTAAACTGTACAGTCCTGTACTGTAGAAGTGTAGATCATACCCAGCAAACTCGAGGTATGTAAGCTCTGTGACTTTCACAACTTTTCCGTATTCTGAGCCCCGGTCCTGGGCACGAAACTGTTTCCAGTTGAGCCGAACCCATAGATTATCCCCCGATTTCGTGGCTAGTCTTGGAGGAATTCCCGACTAAGCCAAACCCTTCTCCGAGTGCAGCCGGTGTGCCTTCGTCCTTTTCGTGATGGTGTTTGTGTAGCCAATTCTTAGGTTCGTGACTATAATTGTAAGTTAACGCTGTGTCTCGTTTTTAATATATTTTGTGATCGAAATGAATTTTTCGATGCGTTCTTCAGTGATTCGAACTCCACGTGGTGCTTTTTATAGTTTGCATGACGCATTTATGTTTTAACCCTTTCCATTGGTCAGCCTATTTTTTTCATCGCCCAGTTTGTCATAATTATGCACGTTCCAGAGTTTCAATATTTGGCCGTTGACTCATTTTCCTTCATTTCGAAACTGTTCAGGAAGCTATGTCGAAACGGCAGAAAATTTTGGAAGAGAGTCTCTGGGAGTGCACGGTCTGCACTTACCGGAATAAAGCAGAGGCATTCAAGTGTCTCATGTGTGATACGAGGAAAGGGACTTCAACCAGGTTCGTTTACCGCATTATTTATGTATCTCCATGATGACTGGCAATGTTGCGGAATTCCAGGAAGCCACGACTGAACCCACAGGTAGCTGCTCAACTATTCAATCCGTCATCCTCTCAACCTGTAAAGCCCAAGAAAGAAGCTGTAAATCAGTCGCCTGCCGCGAGCTCATTGAGCCCTACTCCCACTCCCGTGCAAAATGGGACAACAGCCAAAGAATTGAGAAAACCCCGCGAACCTGAAAAGAGAATAACTGCCAAAGGAGCGAGGTAAGTTCTAGCGAGAATTTGTTGCATGTTGTGAGTGAGTGCCATTTCTAAATTTATTTTACTTGTAGGGGTCGATGGAAAAATATTGACCGAACTTCCGGAAGAAAACGAGAGGTAACTGTGAACAACGTGACTGTGGTGTTCACCGAGTTTCAGCCAAAAGTAAAGCGGAGTCCATCATCGGACGTGAGTGATAAAAGTATTACTCCCAGTCCGGGCCGTAAAGCCGCCAACGGCCTCCATAATCTGCGAGGTGGCATTAATTCATCGAATCTCTCGTCGCATTCGTCTTCCCGTCGCGAGGCGTCACACACGTCAAGTGGGGACAGTCGAAGTTCAAGCTGAGCTTATGCAGTTTTTGTATTTATGCCTGCGCGACGAAATTTTTTCCATTCGGCTTGCCTGTCCTTATGTTTTCACGATTGCTCGAAGAATATCATTCGTCGGGTGTGTTCTGAGATACTCCTCTGGTATTCGTGATGCATCCTTTTTTGATCGTTTCCATCCTGCAGCGCTTCAAGAGGATCAGATCTCATTTTTTGCTTTTTTTTCCAATTGGAGGTAAATATTTTGCGCTGAGATGTTAATGCGCATGATTTCTCCTACTTGCTTATTTTTGCACGAAAGCAATCAAGTGTTAGATGCTGGAAGTTGAGTTCCATGTCCAAAATCTTATGTAATTGGTAAACATTTATATATATACTTATAGTGAGGACGTAGGTGATTCTTCGAAAGATCGACTCTACGTTTTAATATTTGAAAAACATTTTCTAGACTTTGTGTCGATGATTTCCAGCGATTCGAAATTTTGAATAGTTGCGTGTTTTTCTATGTGAGCGGACGTGTGGTTCACTCTGCCATTTGGACGCATTATTTTTGTTCTCGGTTGAGCTTGACGATCCTAATAATTCTTATTCTTTTCTACTTGTGGTGCTAATTTTGCGGTGTTGTGTTATTCAACGCGTGTATCTCCTCTCATGCGATGCTTGCGGATCACGAGTATATGCTGGTTAAGTTATTTTATGCCTCCGGAGCTCGCTAGACAACTGCAAATTGTGACTTTGATGGGAACTTCATAATCCAATTTTGGGTGAGCTCTCACAGTTTGGCCCATGCTTGTGGAGCACCAAGTGATCGATCCGTTAGCGTTTCTCAACCCGTGAGAATAAATCTGTGTACTGGTAGTGTTGACATAAATGCTCTCGTTCAAAAGATTCGTTCCTGATGAAAAAGTTGTTTTCCTTTGCAGGCGTCAGTGAACTGTCGAATGCAACTGTGATAGCGGGTGTGGAGTTGGTGGATCATGGCCACCAGACTCGATCGGCTTTTTGTGCTCCTGGAGTCTGGAAGCAGTTCGGCCACTAGACAAGCTGCCGCCAAACAGCTCGGCGAAGTTGTGCGTTTGCATCCGCAAGAACTACCTGTACTTTTATCGCGCCTCTTGAAATGCATCCGGAATTCTTCGTGGGACACCAGAGTCGCCGCCGGGCAAGCCGTCAATGCGATCGCTTCTGCTGTTCCGCAGGCAATAAATCATGCGCTGAAGAACGGTGATTTGAAGCCCAAGTTAGAAGATGTGCACGGGTTAAACGTGAAAACCTTTGACCCTGCGGCCATTCTTTCAAGCAAGGTCGTTTTGATAGCCTCGCAAGGCTCGGAGTATAATTTCGATGCTTCCGATTTGAGCGGGGAGAAGCAGCAAAGTATCATCCGCAAAAAATTAGGACTAGATTTTGCAGAGAAAATTGGACTCGACACTTCCGACATTGTGTCCAACCAAGATTTAAGCACCGCCCTCAAGTCAGAAGTACAAATCACCATTCAACCCGCAGACGGTTCCTCAGCAGTGTTGGCCAGTTTCGGTATTGTAGTTCCTTCTAAACGGAAACTCGACGATGACTCACCGAAGAATTCGAAAAAAATGCTGAAAGTAGAAGAAGAATGTGAAGAAGTTATTTGCGATCCATCGTCGTGGCCGTTCATGGATTTTGCGAAGATTTTGTGTCGGAATCTGTTCAGTGCCCGTTGGGAAACGCGCCACGGTGCGGCGACTGCGCTTCGCGAAATTCTAAAAGTGCACGATCATCAAGTTCTTGAAAAACACTGGTACGAAGACGTCGCCCTGAAATTAATCTGTGTATTGATGCTGGACCGTTTTGGGGATTTCGTGTCAGACCAAGTCGTTGCCCCTGTTCGCGAAGCAGCTGCTCAAGCCCTCGGTTACGTTATTCATTCCATTGACGAAGACCTGGTTCTTAAATTATTGGACATCACTGTTCAGCTCACTTCAAATCCTGAGTGGCAAGTGAAACACGGCGCATTGCTTGGTGTGAAATACATTGTCGCAGTTCGGGAACATTTGATGAAACTTGTGCCACAGGTATATGACAATGTATTTCAGTGCCTCCGCGATCCAATCGATGACGTGGCCGCTGCTGCTGCGGCCGCTCTAGTCCCTGCCACTAACGTAATCATTGAAGCGTTACCCCATCGTGTTGAAGAACTGTTGTCCACGCTATGGGATTCACTGTTACACCTCGACGAGTTGACTTCGGCGACGAGCAATGTCATGATTCTCCTCTCTAAAGTGTTGGGCTGTGGCAAAGCTGATGCGACGAAACTGAAAGACCTTGTTCCGCGCCTGTGGCCTTTCTTGGGACACAACTCTGCAAATGTTCGGAAATCAACCTTGATTGCCTTAAAAATGCTTTTGTTGAATCAAACTGTGGAAGGTCAAGGCGCCGAATGGCTTCATTCTATCCTGCCGGTGCTTCTCGGACAAATATTTTATCGTGCATTGACGGAAACGAGTGTTGATCTTCACGAATTTATAATTGAAGTTTGGGAAGCAGCAGTTTTGAGAACGGAACCGTCGCATCTTGTGGCTGTAGCGAGCGCAGCTATCACGGGCTGGCTCGCCATGCTCATGTCTCAACCACACATGCATCTAGATCTCAATCTCCTCGGCGTCGGATGCAAAATTGCGGGTCGGGAGTCTCCGATTTGTCTTGGCGGTCAAGATTCTACGTTGAATGAAGCTGAAAAAGAAGACCTTTGTATCCGTGCAAGACTTCTGGGGATTCGAATGCTTGGGTTCCTCTCGGGTCCCATGACGGTTGTCTTGCCGGGCATCGATTACGGCGGTTCTTCTCCGGTGGAAATGTATGCGCAGCTCCTGAAAAATCCTCTGGAAGCCCGATCCGCTTACGGAAGAATGGTTATTGCCGTGCTTTTATCCGAGTGGGCCGAACGTTGGCCTGATTCCGACATTCCAGCAGTTCTGGCCTCGACGCTGAGTGAAGGATTAAACCAAGTTCTGTACTATGATGAAATTGCGCACGCGTTTACGAGACTGCAACAAGACGCCCGAGATTTCATGGCATCGGTGCATCACAGTTTCCCGCAGGTTCCTCCGTTCTCGGCGTCGAATGTTTTGACTTTGAAGCAAGTTTCCGAAATGGCTGAAACGTGGGCACCACAAGTTTTTCTCACCAAGAAAATTCCTCCAAATCGAATGACGGTCCTTGAAGATATGCGGAAGGCCATTCTTAATTCGGTGGAGAAAACGTCTCGGGATCACTCGAAGTTAGCTCTAGTCTGTAATGCCTGCATGGCGGAGGCCCTGGTCGCAATGAAGAAACTCCCAGAGAAGCTAAGTCCTACAGTAAGATCGCTCATGGATGCTATCAAGATGCAGAAGAACCCATTGCTTCGATTGAGGGCTGCGAAAGCAATCGCCAATCTGTTGAAGCTTGCGATGAATCGAGTACCCCCACCGAATCCGAAAATTGTCAAAAATCTGATCACCTACGCAACTGCGGACTGCCTCATCACACCAAAAGTCGGACAGCCGTGTGAATCAATCCCGAATTCGTCGAAAAATAACCCCGTGGAAGACTCTATAATTTGTACGAAAACTTCAGGCATCTTGAAGCTTTATCGAGACCGAATGTCAAGTGAGAAATCGAGCGTGAAAAGTCAGGATTCTGCGCAAGCTTTGCAACAGGATACTTTCCAGAATGGCTGTGCTCAAGACCCTGTTCTACAGAGGGAGGCGGAGGTTTTGCTTCGCATCGGCGGTGAAGCAGCTTTGATCGCGATTGTTGCTAGTATAGGTCCAGAGCTCAAGACTCAACTACCTAGTTTGTGGGAAGCCGCGTTTGTCATACCGATTTGTGAAGAGTGCGAAAAGGACGAACAAGCTCAGCATGCCGTGAATTCGTTACGAACTGCAGAAATAATTCTGCCGGAAATTCATGCATCCCTTCTTCACCTTCTCGGGGACTTCGTGCGTCGCGTAATGGAATATCTCGAACATAGTTTCACAGTTATTCGACACATGGCGAGTCGAGTGATGGCCGCGTTGGCAACTGCGAATCCAGTTTTGTTTGTTGGACCAAACCTCCCGCTTTTGTTGCGAAGTTTGGACAAGATGGACTCCGACGCTTCTCGACAAGGAGCCATTGAAACCATTAGTTTGTTTCTGGAAAAGACAGGACTCAGGATTCTTCCCTATGTTCCCGTGTTCCTTGTTCCCGTCCTACGACGTATGAGTGATCAAAACGTGCCGGTTCGTTTACTCGCCGCGAAGTGCTTCGCAAATTTGGTCAAGCTGATGCCATTGGCTTCGGGTGAATCTGGGAATGATCTACAACTTGATCCTGCATTAGAGAAAGCCCGGAAGGAGCAGCTGAATTTCATCACCCAACTTTTGAATCCTTCTCTCGTCGGAGACTCTGTTTTGCCTGAATCTGTCGATGCCAAGTTGAGGAGATACCAGCAAGACGGGCTCAACTGGCTCATGTTTCTTAATCGGTACCAGCTTCACGGGATCCTGTGCGACGACATGGGACTTGGGAAGACCCTTCAAACTATTTGCTTGATGATCTCGAGCAACAATGAGTTGCGGAAAAAGAAAAACACCTTGTTGCCTTCAATTGTCATTTGTCCACCGACTTTGGTTGGTCATTGGTTTTACGAAGTGGAGAAGTTCGTGAAAAATCAAGCGTTGAATCCGCTGATGTATGCTGGACCTCCTGGAGAACGAATGCGTTTGAGGCTGAAAGTTCCCGAACACAATCTGATCATTGCTTCGTACGACATCGTGAGAAACGACGTGGAATTCTTTTCAAGTATCAAATGGAACTACTGCATATTAGACGAAGGCCATGTGATCAAAAATGGGAAGACGAAAATGGCGAAAGCCATCAAGCAGCTGACTGCGAGCCACAGACTCATCTTGTCTGGAACTCCGATCCAAAACAACGTATTGGAATTATGGTCTTTGTTTGATTTTCTTATGCCTGGTTTTCTGGGATCTGAAAGAGACTTCAGTTGGCGATACAGTCGACCAATTTTGCAGTCCCGAGACGGGAAAGCGACTGCCGTTGAACAGCAAGCTGGTGCTTTGGCGTTGGAGGCCCTTCATCGTCAAATGCTGCCGTTCCTGTTGAGACGAATGAAGACGGACGTGTTGGAAGACTTACCACCGAAAATCACACAGGACTATTATTGCGAACTGAGTCCGTTGCAACAGAAGCTGTACGAAAGCTTCGCCAAATCCCAGACGTGCAAAGATTTGGGCGACGTTTTGTCGACGGAAGAAGAGGAGACGAAGAAACCGAATGTGATCCACGTGTTCCAAGCGTTGCAGTATTTAAAGAAAGTTTGCAATCACCCGAAGCTTGTGCTGAACGACCAACATCCCGAAAAGGAAGCTGTGGCTGAATACTTGAGTCAGAAGAATTCTCGGATTGATGACATTAATCACGCGGCAAAATTGCCGGCATTAAAGCAGCTGTTGAATGACTGCGGAATCGGTTGTGAGACTGAAGCTGTCGTTTCCGAACACCGAGCTTTGATTTTCTGTCAGCTGAAGTCTATGATGGACATCATCGAATGTGATCTATTCAAAAAATACATGCCTGAAGTTACTTACCTGTAAGTATTGATAAGTCCTCGCGTTTTTCTGTTGATGGTCTTTTGTTTGTCTTTTATTACGCATTGAACTTCGTCTGGGAATGTTGACCTTGTGCTTTATGAATTCAAGGGAAAAGAAAAGCCGAAAAACGCACAATAGCTTTACTCTTTCAAAACTAACATAGTATGTTCGCGTCGATTGTTCGCGTTTTTTCGTGTTTCTTTTGCCATACAATTTTAAATAGGATTAATTTAATTCATGCGATGAGGATTAGTATTAAGGTTTTACTACTCATGTTTTCGGGCAGTAAAATTCCAAGTTCGCGTTTATGAAATAAAAAAAAAAATTTCCTGATGAATTGATTCGTCAGATCTTTATCAAGTACGAAGCAGCAGCAACTATTTTGCGTAATCCTATCTTAAGTAAAACCGTGAATAAAATTGTTTTATGTGAAGCGGGCGAATATTAGTATGTACAATATTTCAGATGATGCAATTCCAAAATTTCTTGTTTCACGTCTGATTTTTTTTATCGTTCTGATGATTTCATTAGGACGGAAATGTGAAGTTGATTTTATAAAAGCTAATTTTATAATTTCTTCTCTAAAAGATGTTCTCATGTTATGTTTCAGCCGGTTGGACGGCAGTGTTCCGCCTGCACAGCGGCACAATCTTGTGACAAGATTTAATAACGACGCCTCTATTGATGTTTTGCTCCTCACGACTCAAGTTGGCGGTCTTGGTCTCAATCTAACCGGCGCAGACACGGTGATTTTTGTTGAACATGATTGGAATCCGATGAAAGACGTTCAGGCTATGGACAGAGCCCACCGAATAGGACAGAAGAAAGTCGTTAACGTTTACCGTTTGATCACCCGAGGGACGTTGGAAGAGAAGATAATGGGACTCCAAAAATTCAAGCTCAATACGGCGAATTCTGTTGTGAACCAGGAGAATTCCGCTTTAGCGACGATGAGTACTGACCAGCTGTTGGAAGCTTTCAGCTTCTCAGACAGCAGAGAAGCGGAAAAGCAAAGCGGAACTAAGATCGAAATGAAAAAATCAGGTGTGAAGTCCGTGTTGGAAGGATTGCCGGATTTATGGGAAGAAAGTCAGTACGACGAATACAACTTGGATAGCTTCATTTCCACGTTGAAGTCGGGGTCGTCTTGATTGTTACCGTTGCGTTTTGTTTATGTGAAAACCTTTCATGGCGACCTTCTTTATTGTACGCGTTTTACGCTTGCCTTTGTTCGCCGTGTGAACGTATGCAGTTGGCTTTCGGGGTCTCATTTACTGTTTTCTGTAAGTAATGTAATTCTTCAAAATAATTTGCTTTAGATTGTCATGGATTTTTGTTTATTCCAGAAAATTTTCAACTACCTCTACTCCGTCGAGATCGTTGTGAATCAAAGTTGCAGATGGTCGTGAGTAAACTTTGCAGCTCATTCAAGATATTGAGTTTAAGAATCCATGTTCATCTTCGTAAATTGAATCATTGAAGATTTCTGGTTTTGGATTTGTCTTGAGTGCCTCTTGAGTTATTTTTAGCATAAGTTCTTGCGTTTCTTTTATTCAACTTGAAAATGTTCATGCAGTGTGATTCAAGTTTCCCGGAGATTTTTCGTTCAACTGAGCATGGTTTTTTGAATGAACTTCTGGAAGGCTTGAAATTAAGGGGATAGCTACTTCTTTACTGAATTGTCAATTCCGTCAGATGTGGACACGTTGGAGCTCGAAGAACGGTTGGGATTATTCAGACTCCTTCGAATTATCTTGTTTTTGTTGTCAAATACTCGTTTCACACTTATACTATGATTGTGTATGTGATGGTCGATTTTCGGGTAAACCGTTTATTCGTTGAATAATTTAAAATTCTGATGGAGAAAACTCGTATAGGATTCATTAACGGTCAGATGTATTTGGAAAAAAGCGATCCTTCATCATTGTTCAGTAAATCTTTTTCGATATGTGCTGTTTTTTTATGCCGTGGCGGAGTCGAAAATATGTGATTGATCTTCGAAATCAACGTGGGAAACCATCGGTGATACTCTGCTTTAGAGGTTAATTTTTTACGATTCTGTTCGGTCCTGTTTTTTAAGTTTTAATTTTG